GGATTGTGAACATTCAGAGTTTCCTATAGAGTTTTCATTCTTTCTTTTTTTTGTAATCTTGGATTTTTGTTTCATTTTTATTTTTTCCCTTAGAGAGCTCAAGGAATTAGAGTTCTATAGAACATATTTTGGGAAAAGTTTTGTGGATCTTGGAGGGCTAGATGACTAACTACTCAAGCGTCTGTCAGGTTTAAGGATAATAGTTGTAGAAGCAAAAGCAAAATAGTGAACAATTGTCCAGCACCCATTGTCTAAACCCCTGCCACTCAACACGTGGTCTGTGGAAAATGGAGTTTGTTAGAAATGCAAACTCTCAGGCATCAATCAAGGTCCACTGGAAAAGAAGCTGTATTTTTAGCAAAATATCTTAGTGATTCATAAACACATTAAAGTTTGGGAAGCCCTGGTCTTTATCACTGTGTGGTGATTGATTTTCTGCTGAGGTCTGCAGGCTACTATATCCTTTCTGAAAACATCCAGATTAAGAGATATTGACACAGAGGTGTCTGGGAAGCTGGTCATCTTTTATCTCCAGCAAGGTATCCCAGAGTGCTAAGGAAGACAGCTGTGGGACTTAGAATCAGGAACCCAGTATACAAGTGCTAGCAGAGGTTGGAAGCATGGCTGGGCTTTGCTCTGTACTTGTGCTGATTTCAAATCTTATTAAGCCAGGAAGTGGTGCCTGGCAAATGGTTTATCCCGCCTTAGCTATTCATGTTTCCCAATTCATTTTATTGTGCTAATTAAACCTCAAGTGATATTTCAAGTACAGATTGTTTTTTTCCATTATTGAATCTTTGGCCAGCATATTAATGCTGTAGAATTAACGTGAGTCAGATGCTTACTCATTTGTGGAAGACTTTACATTTAAAAGATCTAGACTTGGCCAATTTTGCACAGATTCCTTTGGAAACTGCTATGACAGGGTGATACAATTTCTCTCTGTAAATAAAGGAGACTCATTCTTCCTTCACAGAATAGACATATAATTATTTTTTAAATGAACCAAATTCTTAGATCATTGATACACAGTGGTATTTATGGTCCATTATAACATGGATATGTGGAGCCTGGGAGGGTAATGGTGAAGATTTGGAGTTTTCAGTTCAAATTCTATATTTACATATACTTGGACTGTATTTGATATTTCCCAAACTCATAGACTTCATTAATTAAATAATAATAAAATACTTACCTTGCTTCAAGATTGATTATAAGGATTAAATTTTAAAAAATGAGTACTCAGCCGGGCTTGGTGGCTCAGCCTGTAATCCCGCGCTTTGGGAGGCTGAGGTGAGTGGATTGTCTGAGCCCGCGGGTTCGAGACCTGTCTGGGCAGCTTGGTGAGACCTCATCTCTACAATAAATCAAAAATAAGCCGAGCATGGTAGTGAGCGCCTGTAGTTCCAGCTACTTGGAAGGCTGAGGCGGAAGGATCGCCGGAGCCCAGCAGGTCAAGGCTGCGGTGGCCAGGAACGGCCACTGCACTCCAGTCTGGGCGACAGAGTGAGACTCCACCCCCCCCCCCCCAAAAGAGTACTAGACAAGAGTTTCTGGTTCAGTGATTGCCCAACAAATGCTAATATTATTATTACTGTAATTAAAACATTTTTAGAGCTGTTAATTATATAAGCTTAAAGAGAAAACGACATTAGATTTTATAGGATTAAGTTAAGATCATGGCATTCTCTACTGAAAATCTCTTTATTTAAACTTTCACTGTCCAGAATTTCCAAACTATTAGGTAGGACATTCATCGTATAGGTTTGTACTTGAGGTGCCGGGAGGGGTGTCTTTAAGCTCCATGGGTGGGGTCTGGCTGTGGATGGGGGTCATTCCTTGAGAACAAGGACCATGGCAGGCCTTGGCCCCAAAAGTCACCCCAGAGTCAGCAGATAAATCTATACATACGGAAAATGGGAGTGAGTCAACAAGTCACATAAGGTAGCAAGCTGGAAAAGCAGATGGATGAGTAATTGGCAATAGGGAAAGCTAAGGGAAAACTTGGTTTCTATGGCAGAACTACTCCAATGCCTAGGTCATGAGAGTACAGGAAACACCATATACAGGATATTGGTTGAAAGTCTGCTAAACTCAGGTAACTGCACCCCTTCTTCTTCAGCAGAAAACTGGAGGCTTCTTCCCTAAAAAGGACAAAAAAAAAAGGTTCTGAGAAACTCCAGACACAACTGAGGCTGTGGGAACCACAATGAAAATGCTGGATTTACATATTCAATGTTGGTATTTCCAGCATTCTTCCTTCTCCAAACAGGACACTGGAAGAACATCATCTGAATAGTTTTACCAGACCTTTCCTCAGAATGATTTAATGAACCTGACATCAGGTGGTAGCAAGGAGGCAAATATATTGCTCCACAATGAAGCTGACAGTTAACAAATTTGTGCAGTGCTTCTCGGACCCTATTCTTAAAGATGTGTGAACAGCCAAGATGTTTGAGGAAACCTCATAATTGAAAGACGAACACAAAACAACCAAATAGAGGGAGAAAAAAATGACTAGAAACCAAGTTAGTGTGGAAAGAAAAAAATTTAAAAGAAATTATCATTGACATCTCATAGAGATCATGAGAGTTATTGTATCCATGAAACAAAAATAGGATACTATAAAGAAAGAATATTCAGGAACAAAAAACAAAAGAGCCTTGGAAACTGAAAATATGACAAAGGAATGAACAGTTTCAAAAGAAGGTGACTCTGAAGAGAGCTTCCTGTAAATAAATAAAAAGATGGAAAGTTAGAAATAAAGAATTAGAAGGCCCAACATCCAAATAACAGAAGTTCTAGGTGGTATGAAACACTACATCCTGGTTGAGTTGGCATCATTTTTTTCCTTTCTTAGTGATGTAACATATAACAGCGTTACAACTTACAAATAATGCTGTCTTAAGTTTGATGGATGATAACTACTGCATATTAGATGGTTTTGCAGTTAGTAGGGCTTACATACTCATAATAAACTTCACATTTCCATCGAATGATGTCAATTCATAGCATACGGAAAGATGTGAAGACAGAGTATGTTGGATGTGGTGGGGAAACATGGGGGAGGTCTGGCATTTCTGTATGAAGGTGAGCCAACTTCCTGCCTTCCATGGTGGGAGACCGGTAAATAATACTGAAACAGAAAAACCCCCAAAGTAGCGAAGTAAGTATGATATTTAGTGATGTGGTGATCAGTACCAAAATACAGAGTTAAAGAGATGAAATGGGTGCCCTCTGGAAATAGGAAATAGTGCCACGCGGGGAAGATGGGACTACCACTTTTCACACAGTAGCTTGATTTTTTCATAATAAGTTTTGTAGAATTATAGACTCTGCAAACTATGTCACTATATAGTTTATTAAAAATTTAAAAAATTTACTCCTATTATACCACTGGATTCAGGGAGATTAGGCACCAAGTAAGCACATTTCTTGTATCTTGCCTTGACATGCCTCTTAATAAATTGGAAAATTAATTCTCACAGAAGTTGTAAGAAAACACATTGAAAGAGAAAAAGGACTACTCAACCAAGGCCATATAGTATGTGTGATGTTTAGGGTCTAAGGCTTATACCTATCTACTGCATTCTCTCTTAATCACTGTTTTATATTTCATTGCCCTGTATAAATCTGAATAATAGAATTCTTTTCAAAAGCTCATCAAAGATATAACATTACTCTCTATTGTATGCTTATGGGAAAGAAGAGTTTTGGAGTTTCTTACTAGCCCCTGAAAGCCAGATCTTGTTGGACAGTACTCTCCCAATGATGGAAAAATCACGAAACATGCACTGTACAAATCTTGCTCCAGTCTGATTTCAGTCATGAAGAGCAGTGTCTTTGCCAGTAAAGGACTATATCATAAGAGAAGGTTTTATGCATGGTAATGTGAAGATGACGGGTCAGATAACTGCTCGTGGGTGGGTTAATTGCAATTTAATGGCTATTGAAGATGAATTGCCTTTCCTGACTTCCAGGTTTCTTTTGAGTTAACGATGTGTCATAGTTCTGTGGGACACAGCTGTCATAGTGAATACAGTCCCAAGCAGAGTTAGGATTAACTTAACTAGCAAAGCCTGACATATTACTAAACCCTCAGAGGCTGTGATTCCTGTGGGGTTTCAAGCAGTGTACACACTCAGTAGGTGTGACAGTTTAAGGACTTGATAGCTGTGTCAACAAATGAACACATAGATTTTGAAATGTAAAAACGAAAAACGAAGCGCTGATGAAATACTAAAACATGTTTATAAGGTTCAAAATTTCATCTGATAACAAATATATTCTCAGGGTTTGTCCAAGAAAAACAACTGGAATAAGAGTTCATTTGCCTTTTTTCATTGTGTTTTAAATAGGATGACCAATTTTACCTATAATCTTTAAGTATGATTTATATACTTTTGAAACATTCTAACACTGTTGATAGCTCAGGCTTTATGTCTTTGAAAAATGTTTTGAAACCATGTATTTTCTTTCATGGTTTGACTTTTTCAAAATCTAGGCCTAGTAGTAGATTAGATGTATAAGAGTTATTTAATGCAAAAATAGATCTTTGCAAAAGAAATGCATCTCACCCTTTTGCATACTGAATTATTAAATAGTGGAGGGGAGAAGATGGGGTGGGGTGAGCAGGAAAGACATATGATGTTAGTCCACAGGTACAATGCATTTTTATGTGCAAAAACTGGATTAGTAAGTGTAGAAGAGAAAAGAAGGCGGTTCTATATACTAGTGTTTTTGTACTCAAAGGTTATTCTTCAAGAATACTTTCAAAAAGTGTTTATAATTTATTTTTGAATTTAATTACAGCACTTTTTGTGTTAATGTTAAATCTATACACCTTATCAATGTGGCAATTTTTCGGACCAACATACCTCAGTCTGGAAAGTAAATAATGATTGACTTTAAAGCATAAAGAGCTTTCAATTTATTGCTGTTACTTTGATACTGCATTGAACTATTTGTATATGTCTCTGTTTACTTTTCTTGTTCCACAGGTTTGCCGTCTGCAAGTTTGGCCGCACCGAATCTTACTGTGGAGGAAGGAAAATCTATCACGTTGTCTTGTACTGTGGCAGGCGATCCGGTTCCTAATCTGTATTGGGATGTTGGTAATCTGGTTTCCAAACATATGGTAAGGTTTGTATTTGACTATCTTAATAGACAATAAGTGTGTCTCAGAACTTAAGAATGCATTAAACCTAGAGGCGATCATTTGATATTTTATAGGGCTACGTATAGAAATTTACAAGGACATTTTGATATACGTTTACTTTCTACTGATTCTTAGTCAACAAAGACTAATGCAGGTTTGCATTTTAGTTAAGTATACCCAATAGATAGGAGAGCCTTTATATTCCTAGCGAGCTCTTTGTCATCCTGAGCAAAGTGAGTGTCTCTCCCTGTGGTGTTTTCCCTTGGAGGAAGGTAGACAGGAATTTCAGGACCAAGTCAGCCTCACACACTTAGCGGAAGAAACCTAGAAAAATAGAATAACTTCTGATTTACTTTTTTTGTCTGAGCCTGATTCAGGCAGGGACCCTTTTCTAACAATATATATTTTTTTCTCTAGTTAGCGGAAGAAGCCCTAAATCTTGTCACTTTGGGATCAATTCTAATTAAGATTATTTTTGTCTGTTAATTTATTTGTAGAATGAAACAAGCAACACACAGGGCTCCTTAAGGATAACTAACATTTCATCTGATGACAGTGGGAAGCAAATCTCTTGTGTGGCAGAAAATCTTGTAGGAGAAGATCAAGATTCTGTCAACCTCACTGTGCATTGTACGTAATCAGACTGGCATGTGTTTTTAATAGCAAATTATCTTGGACACACTTACATTTGTTGCTGGGGCACTCTGGCTGCTGCTTAAGTTTGTTTTTTTAAAAAAAGTATATGCAGAATTTCGTACATACGATCTAAAAAACATTCTCAGCCTCTCTCACTTGTTTGATTTCTGCTTAATATCTCTTGCTCATACATTCTTTTTCTTTTAAGCTTTCTTTACAATCTTGATCTTGTCACTTGTGCCTTCTTCTTTCTTTTTCTGATAGAAGATATTTTGAGTTGGTTGTTCCCTTTTGTCAATATTTTAGCTTAAATTCCGTAAACCAGTTTCTAAGCATTTTTACTTCTATAAATGCAATATGATGCTTTAAAGTTATGATACCTAAAATGCTTGCTGACTGTTCACAAACACCTAATTGAACTGTTGATACAATAAAATTGCATTCGTTTGACATAAAGTTTCTATGAGAAGACAGGAGGAGTCCTAGTTAAATTATTGAAAATTATTATCACTTGCAGAAACTTTTTTATTATTGTTGTTTTGCATTTCTGCATACATCGAATCAAGGATAAAAGGTATCAATGCATCTGAATTAAGCATAAGTGCACTGTTCTCCAGTTATCATAAATACCGCAGCATGTATTTTGTAATTCCAGATTGTGGTGTTCAGTGTGAAGGTATATTCAGTTAAAGCCATATAGACGCTTCACATCATTGCAAATTCTAAACTGGCATGGTGTAAATTAATGAGGTTTTACTCTGGATTAGGATTTGGATGAGAAAAACATTAGCATACGTGTGTGTACCAATTACACACGTATAGACCCATGGCAATAGCTAATGTCGACACACTGGTTAACGCTCACTCATAGTGCACATTCAGTGTGTGATTGTTGGAGTGAATGATTGAAATCACCAACTGTAATTCTTTGTCACTGTTAATACCACCACTATGCCCCATGGGTGCTGGACTCATAATTTCTCATCATTTTGATTGACCCAGAAGCCTGAAGTTAATGTTATTCCCAAACATATACAACCACTTCCATCTTTATGACCTTAAATGAGCACCTCTCCCCAAACTCTTTTGAGCATGGTAGAAGGAATAAGTGGGCTCTGAGTATGGGTTTCTGGGCTGGTGGGGAAAGGTAAGTGTGGCCCCCGACCCACTGTGGCCCTTCTTGTGGTTAGTTGGTGACACAGATCTACACATGCCCGCATGCACCTTATTTTGTGTAATGGATATACAGTTCTCCCAAACCGTATTTACATTGAACTTTTATAGATTAAATTATACGTTAAAAGCTGTTTTGTTTTTCTAAGACTATTTTAAGGAAGCTTGTGAGAAATATTTGATAAAGCAAACCACTTAAACTTCGCAAATTTAAAATTAGCATTCTTACATTTCTGAAGTGAAGGCGTTTCTTACAATACACGTTTGCAGAGTTCAGCAGCACCGTGTGCTCACTTGTGAGAAATTTCACTGGTAACTGGAAATGTTTCTGTAGGGTATGAGAGTGAGTTGGACTCTTCTTGGGTAGGAGGATTTACCTAATCACAGTAGGAGGAGGATGTCACGTTATCTGCTTTCTGTAAAGGACACTTCAAACTTGAGTTTTCCTCAGCTTAGATTAATCTCCATGTGGTCACCATGGTCTGAAGAATTGACCCTATCTGTCAAAGCTTAGATAAAGAGCAGAAGGAATAAGCGATGAAGAACACTAGCAACTGAGCTAACCATTGCACAGACCCCGCTCAGAGTATGTGTGTGTGTGTTCCCAGGCTATAAAGCCTTACATTTTTTTCTCCTTTTTCTGTGATGACCATGTGCAATCAAGAAGCAGTGTACAAGAGGAAGGGAAGAGCTACTGGATTAAACACCAAGGGATACCAGGATTCTTGTTCCAGATCGGCCCTGTTCAGTGACCTTGACCAACTCCCTTAACCTCACTGGACTTTGGTTTCTTCATCTGATGCTATTGGATCTCAAAAGTCTTTTCCAGTCCTTGATTTTATACGTATCAAAACACATTAAAATAAACAGTGATGAGGGGTTTTCCGTACCTTCACTTGGGATAAGTACTCTGTTTAAAAATACTACTTGATAATGTTTGCTTCCCCAAGACATGAAGTGCTTTATACTTAAAGTTGAAATCATCTCCAGTTTGCTTGTCCAGGCTTAGATTGGACCCCAGACATTTAAAGAATTAAAACATTGCCGTCCAGGATCCTGACACAAATGGACCGTACTATAATGAAATGTGATGCTCTTAAAGAGTATTTGCTATTGACAATCAGTAAAAAAAATATTAATTTATCATACTTATAATAATCAGCATCAGCAGCAACATTCATTACATTTGTTGGTTTGATCTGTTTTAAAAGTTATGTGAGGTGAGGGCTTCTGGTAACATTTTCAGAGTTATTTTGTTATTTGTATAATTTAGGTAAGTAGTGCTGCAAAAATAGTGTTCCTCATTTTTTGGTGATAAATCTTCATAACGTGAAGATACGTATATTAGAAATGAAAGTCAACTTCAAATGAACACTTTCCACTGTCAGAAATCTCTTGGATCTGTTTGGAGCTGGTTCTTATACACTGAATAGATTTAAAAAACCCCAAAAACCGTGATGCATGGATCTTATGTAGAGGAGAGAAAGGAGTCTCTCTGAAGCTCTCTGTGGAGACTTATACCCACCTTGATGATGATGCAAAATAATGATGAATTTCAGAGTTGTTGGGCATGTGTTTTCTGAAACCAAACAATGGTTGAATAAAATCCCCTATCAATGATACGGAAATCTGGAGATGGGGAGAATTCTGAGCTTTCTGATGCTATTAACTCTCTCTTTTTCAATTTAGTTGCACCAACTATCACATTTCTCGAATCTCCAACCTCAGACCACCACTGGTGCATTCCATTCACTGTGAAAGGCAATCCCAAGCCAGCGCTTCAGTGGTTCTATAACGGGGCAATATTGAATGAGTCCAAATACATCTGTACTAAAATACATGTTACCAATCACACGGAGTACCATGGCTGCCTCCAGCTGGATAATCCCACTCACATGAACAATGGGGACTACACTCTGATAGCCAAGAACGAGTATGGAAAGGACGAGAAACAGATTTCTGCTCACTTCATGGGCTGGCCTGGAATTGATAATGGTGAGTTCCTGAAGCTTTTGCATGTGGGGAGAAGATAGGGTCGGTCATTCAACTACTGACCCATCGTGTTTCCAGTGAACCATCCTCAAGCCCAGTGGCTTAAAACTCCCATTGTTTAGTCTTACTCGTGGATTTATAGGCCAGCTGGAGGGTGAAGAAGTACTAACTACATAGGGAATCTGCTTCTTAAGGCAAGTGCAGAGTAGAGGACAACTGGAAACATTTGATGCTGCTTAAGGCCTAAGTTCAAGGCTGGCTCACTATCTTTTCATCCTATATGCCATTGGCCAAAACAAGTCATAGAGCCAAAGCCAAGTCGAGGGGCCAGGACTGTACTCTTCCCAAGAAGGTGATGGAGAAATGAATAATTTTGAGCAGTTATCTGAATATTCATAGGAGTACGAATTACTGTTAGGGTGCTTGGATATTTCACTAGAAAAGGGTTGTTATTAATATTGTCACAAGTGTGAATGAGGTTTTGTACCCACAATAGCAAAATCCATGCTAACCATGAGCAGAAGAATTGTATGGTTGGCTCATGAAATATGTGAGATTTATTTTCTGGCCTTTTGTCCATTTGGAATGGAGAATCCTGCTTTCTAATCCATGGAAGAGAAACCAGAATTCTAGAGTGTTTTGCTTACCTGGGCTGACTGAACTGAGTCATCCTCTGATCAGATCCTGAGCTGTTTTTCTAGGAGTGGTCATAGTACCTATCTGGATAATGGTTTGGACTGGGGTAAGGATGGCTAGCCTCAGGGGTCCACTCTGGGCCCAGCAGGAGGGTGTCATTGTGAACTTCAGTTACAGTAGGACAATTGTCATGCATTTACCCGCTTCAGATGCCACGCTTTGGTGGAGTATTCTTACCTGCTCAGACTTGTTGCTCAAATGCTTGCTGCCACTGTGAGGCTGAGGCCTGTGTTTGGATGTGGGGAGTGGTACATGAGCTTGGTTCCTCACCATAATAGCTCTGAGTTAGCCAAAGTCACACTGATAATTTGCCACGAGAAGGGAAAATAGACCTCTGTGGCAGGGGCTGTGTGGTCACCATGTATGTGTGTGGCTCCCAGGGCCATGTCACGCACAAAGGTATCAGTGCAAAGCTACCTTTGCAAAACAGTGAATAAGAATGCCATCTGTCTTGTTACATAATAAGTGCCTATTACCCTGGTATTTACTAAACATCTTTTTAAATGCATGAACTTCCTTAGTGTGTTCAAAATTTTATTTGAATTATATAAGTTTGATTTACAAACAGTCCCTCAGGAGCTCATAAAACAAGCTATGTTTGGACGTAATATCCAGACAACCCCTGGCTGTTGTTGTCTTTTTCATTAAATTTCCTCTTAATGGAGAGTTTAGCTGCTTGGCTACAGCTGCTGTAGTAAACCTTTAGATGACCGTGTTTCTTCCTGCGTGTTTGAGGGACTGTCAGCTTCGTAGTGAAATCTGGAGGCCCTGATTTGGTACAACAGCTTTTTTGTTTGTTCTTAAATAAACATTTTATTTGCAAATAATTTTAGATCTGCAGAAAAGTTGCAAGGTAGTACAGAGTTCCCAGACACCCTCCTCAACCCCAGTGTTGACACTGTCCCTGACTGCAGTATGTTTGTCACAACTAAGAAACGAATATTGGCACATTCCTAATACTAACCTTTGACTTTATTTGAATCCCACCAATGTCCTTTTGAAACTTTTGGGGGTGAAACTTGATTCAGGGTGAAGGTCTGCAGTTTAAAATCTACCAGAAACAATCCATGTCCTTTGATATATGCACAGTATTGTCAGTGTAAAGCCAATACTGTTTTAGATAGGATTTTGATGTATTTTCTTTTGAGCATTTTTCTATGATGCTAATATTTGGGAGAACAGAAATCTTCTCATTCATGTGACCTCATTTTTATTGATCATTTCTGTTTTAACTTAGTTGGGGATGGGAAATAATTGTTTTCTGGCATAAGAATAACTCGAAGTCTCTCAAATAGGCCCTTTAAAAGAAAATATTATTTATCTAATGAAAATAAAAGTTAAGTAAAAATTAATAAATATGTTTCTTCCCTTTCTTTCCCTCTTCTTGTTCATTTATGTATGTTTCATAGGCTTTTAAAATATGAGTATCTGCTTTTAGAAGAGGCTGATTGTTTTTTCTCTTTCAGTATTTACTTAAGTACCAGCTCTCAAGGAGTAATAAATGAAAGTGGAAATGAAAGAGATGTAGGCAGGGTAATAGCGGAGATAAATGACCTTAGTGGGCCATAAACCAGTGTGACCATTTAGAGATTGACCTCATTTGGCTTGGGGACTGAATATTTGTGGGTATTTATGAGACTCATAGCCATAGGATACAGATAATGACCTTTCTTGGAATTGCTTCCTTTCTCTCTTGTCTCCCACCCTTACTTCCTTTTAAAATCTAAAGAAAAATAAACAAATAGCCAAAAAAAAAAAAAAAAAGTTTCCTGATAGCATAAAGGTAAATTCCAAGTTAAGGACAACAAATCAAATCTGGCTTCATATCTCATCAATATTGCTCTCATTCTATTGTAATTGATGAGCAAGTTTCGCTCTCCCAAATATTTTTGATAAGAAATTTCAGCGACTTCCCTCCCACCCCCCAGTTGTTTTGATGAGAACCCCCCCCCCCCTTTTTTAACATTGCAAGTTTCCTGGCTGACATGGATGGCAGCAGCCTGGGCTCACCGTGAAGGCGGCTGCACCTCTGTACAGAGCCGGAAGAATTAATGTGGCAGCACTGGTGTCCCTTAGAGTCCTTCAGCTTAGAACAGAGACTTCCATGGCACTTGGCTTAGGAATTCATTTTTTGGAAAACAGAGAATGGGGGTGCCAAGAGAAATTGAAGCATAAATAAAAACAAATAAATCAAAAGTCCCTAAAACAGAAATCGGTGAGCACGGAAGAGGATGGACCGACAGGATGTAATGACAGCCCTGGTAGTCTTTACTCCCACGTGGAATGCAAATGCTGGACTGGGTGGCAGACATTCTGCTGTCCACTTGGAGGAAGGATGGGGACAGATAGACCCTGAACCAGCAGCAGCCCAGGCCAAGGGGTTGCCACTCACAAAGTGTGAGGATGTGAGGCAGCCCCAGCAAACCCAGATCCCCTGCAATGTCACTTGAGAGCACAGGGCTGTGCAGGCTCTGACACTTCCCCAGCCAGGGCGCTAATGTGGAAGGACAGGTGCTATCAGATCTTTAGATGTCAGCGGGACCCCAGACACCAAGCCAATGCCCTCCCCATCTGTTAATCACGGAAAACCTGGCTAGCAACTGAAAAAGCGAAAAGACTTTCCCAGACTCCAGACATTAAATCGATCATTTTGGGTCCCACATTTAAGAACTGAACTCAGCTCTGGTTAGTTTGGGGTTGTTTTTAAAGTATAAACACAGCTTCAAAATGAAATCTAGAGAACTCAGTGTTTATCTTTCTAGCCTACTGAAGAGCACAACGTGTAGCACAGTAGTGTTATTTTATTTTTTTGTTCTGTTGTCCGTTTACAGTGGGCTCACCGGAAGCAGTCTTCCCTGGCTTTCAGAACGAGAGCGCCCCATATGCCTTGTTTTACATTGGAATCAACTGAGCTTTTTATTATTGTTTTATTTTATCATATTTTTAATACACATTCCTGGGGTCTACCTTTAGCAACTCTGACTCAGTGGCTCTTGGATAAGACTTGGGCTTTGGCATTTTTTGTTTTTAAGATTCCCAGTGATTCCAATGAGCAACCACCGGTAAGCCTCACTGCTTGGGGAGACCTCTGAGCCATGTAAAATGCTTTGCTCAAGACCGAGTAACAGACAATACTATGGCCATTTTAGGTTGCAGACAGAATCTCAACTGAGAAATAGCATGTCCCATCTGAGCTAGAGATTAAAGCTCTGCACTTGAGCTCACAGTCAATCTCCTCTCCTCTCCAAGTTCAAGCTGGCAGTATGGAGTAGGGGCTGGAGTTTGCTAAGGTCTCAGCCCCTCTACTGCCCAGGTGGAAGATGGTGGTGCTGGAGAATGGCAGAGAAGTTTGCTTGCTGATGGCCTTGTGCTCTTGGGACCTGGGAGTGTTCACTGCTGATATTCGGACTTTCTTTCTTGGATACCTTTGCGAGTCCTTGTAGATTGCTTTCGCTAAAGTTCCCATGACACACAAACATATTTCTACTCCAGCTGGTGGAGGCAGCTCCTTTCTCCAGGAAGAGGCTTTGTGTTCTTGGGGTCCCTCTGCTCCTCCAGGTGGCCCTAATGGCAGGATCCAAGACTCCTCACATAGATTTTCCTCTGTGCTGTCTCTGTCTGGTCTATGGGGGGGGGGGAGCAAGCATGATCCCTTATCCCCTGGGAGTACAGGTAGAACCAAATGCCACCTACATCTTGTGAGCGCAGGTTGTTTGCATCTTCTCTGGCAAGAGTCAGACTTCGTCCTCTGAACCTTGCATCTGCAGGGGACCCAGTTGAAGCTCTCAGCATGGTTCTATGGAAGCCTCTTGGTGGGATAGTGAGACATAGCAAGACTTCCCCAAAGCAACTTTTTAATGTCTTTCCTTGTTCTCTCCTCCTAGGAACCTCTTGAAGTCTCAAGAGGATTCAGATATTTCCAAGGACATGAGTCCAGTTCTTAGCCAGTTCCTTTATGAATTCTATCTGTGAGCGCCTCACATCCATGTTGGTGTCAGTTGCTGAGGCCCAAAGAATCTTGTTGAACATCCTGTTACACTTGAATCTGGGTATCTTAGATGATGTACCCTCTCTCTTTGGAGACGTGAGAAATAGAGGATGCTGGGCTACTCCTTGCAATGAGTTACAAAACTCTAGATAATGTGGATCCTACTTCTTTGGAAGGTGGCAGGAGTGAGGTGCAGGATGAAGGGAACACACACAGCCCTTCCCCCCATAAAGGAAAGTAACCGACCACCCACACAATAATAAAAGGCAGGGGAACACCTTTCATTTCTGTCTCCTGCTCTTCTTTGAAGTTGCCTTCA